CCTTTCCTCTTCCAAACATCTGACAAAGTGACTTAGCGCCGGTGCCGCTGAGCTCCCACAAACACCCAGCACGGCAAGCGCCGCAGCCCCGCGTCCGGAGCTGCACAGTCCTGCTTCCACCCACTAATGGGCTTCTCTGGGTTATTTCAGCAGCTCTCAAACAAACAAAACGCATGTCACTGAGCACACAGCACACTTACAGCAGCTCCCACATGATCACAAGCAGAAACAAAGCCTTTCCTTTCTACAAAATAATGTCCTGTTTGAGTTCTTCCCAGGTTTTAGGCAGAGGCAAAGGCGAATGGCCTTGCAGCCACAGAGGGACACAAGTGTCGGCCCTTTGTAGTCTGTAGCTGCCCCTTTGATGTAGATATCCTTTCCTACTGGACAAACTTATCATTTCCAACACTGTGGATTCCCAAGATGTCTCAAGCTTTAATTAGCTTCTTGACACGGGGCACAGCAGTAAAGCTCTCACCAAATAGCAGAAGTGGAAGCAGCAGCCACCCTTCCAGCCCCAGTTGTGTGCATTCCTGGACCTGTGAAGCTCTGGGACTTCTCCTGAGGCCCATCTTCACAGCAGGTATCTTCCTCCTACCTGGAAGGGGTAAAAGCACCCATCTGAGGACCTGTGGGTTAAGTCCTCCCTGTTGCCAGCAGACCATTCCTTCCCAAGGAGACCTCCAAGGGGAGCATGCTGGGGGCAGTTCTGAGGGCCCCAGGCAGCGCTGGCACACCCAGAGCCCACTGCCACTGGTAGTGCCAGCAGCAGCACTGCTTGGGCCGAGAAGAGGCTGGGATGGCTGTGGGAATGGGAGCAGGGAGCACAGCATGGCACATGGACGGGGTCAGGCCGAGGCTGCTGAGAGCAGCTCTGCAATCAATACCACTGCTCTGCTTCCTCTCACATGCCACCAGTGTGACCAGACGGATCTAGAACCAGGAAACACAGCAAGCACAGGGTTTAAGCCCTTAGTAATCTGAAAGCTTTCAGGACATTTTGGGGAGTGCCACAGTATTTACCCACTCTGTTCCTCTCAACCACAGGGCTACTTTGAAATGAGGAATCCTATCCCTTTGGCACCTGGCAGCACTGAGTTCATGTGTCTGGGAACAGGTGCTGAGCCAAGCCAGGCTGGCAGGGTGGAAAAGGTAAGTCTGGGCTGCACACCTGGCCAGCAGGCTGAGGGGCAGCAGGCCATGCCAGCCATGGCACAGCTACACTGCTGGGAGCAGGGCTGAGCTGCTCTACAGGGTTGGGCATGTACCCACACACCCCCAAGGACAGTGCCCTGCCTGCCCATCTGGTTGCTCTCAAGCAGGCTGCATCTGCAATGCTTCTCTGCAGGTTTCTTAGCAGGGCTCAAGAGCACCAGAGAGCCTGGACTTCTCAATTTGACCAAGATCTGGTACGGAAGGCTCAGTGCAACATAAATATTTATACAGAGCATTATCACTCACTCTGTGCAGCCTGGTGAGCAGGATTGGCCAGCACAACTGAGTAGCTGAAATACTGCAGAGGACAACAGGACTTTTAATTAAGGTTATGGCTCTGAAGAAGCACCTCCTTGCATGGAAAGCCTTTTGGATGATGCAAATTTCAGACGCAGAGTCTAATCTTTACATCAAAATCACTCCCACTGAAGCCAGAGCTCCTGATCTTGGCCACAGCATGAACCTGCAGGCAGACACATGAGCAGGCGTAAGTCAGCCTGGGAAGAGGCTCTTCTGCAGGCCAATATTCAAACAACAGCCTGGCAGGACAAATCCAGTGCTGCCATAGAAAGCCCAGAAGCATCTAGGAGGCTACTGCACAGTACCAGTGTCCTCAACAACCCCACCACAGTGGCACCTTCTTGTGGGATGAAGCTCTGCCTGCAACCCTATCCACAGAGCTGTTGACCTTAGCCCATGTCCCACACTGGATCCAAAAGCCACAGGAAGGACCACATGCCTGACCCATGGACAGGGTGCCTCTTTTCCCTGCCGTGGCTGGAGAGACGGAAACCTGACGCCGGTGGCCTCGTACCTCAGATCACTTCCTGCACATGATATGGGCTCCTGCCACCTCCCTTCTCTGCATCCAGGACTCCCTGCCAGACACTGCAGAGTGATCCATGTCCAGCTTCAGCAGGAGCTACTGCTCTCCACAGGCCACTCCAATTCACCCTGAGTGGCCCCAAAGGACAGACCAACACCAGACTGTGCAACAGTTAAATCCCAGCACTGGCCTAGCAGGAGGGCCGGGAGATCCTGTTGCTCAGAGAAATGTGTTTGTCCAAGACAAACAGTGACCGGGCATTGTTTCAGCATGAGTCAAGTGAGTGGAAACACTCCCGTGCCATCCTGTTTTGCTGTCTGGAGGTTTCCCCTACCTTCAGGATATGCAGACAGGCTCCGGGATGTTTCCGACTCGCTGTTCTCTTACTCCTCCATTTCCCGTGAATGTCTGTGCCCAGCGCTGCTCGTTGGCCCAGTGCAGCAGCCTGAGCCTTCTGCAGCCCCAGCCTGTGCCTACAAAGTGCAGCCCACAGCAAGGCAGCCAACAGGCAGCTGATGGAAACAGATGTGGACTGATCTCCATCCATCTTTCCCATTGTTACACAGCAGGAAAAATGGCACCCAGACCCTTTCTGGCTTGCCACTGGCTTACCCTGCCCCACGGAACCAAGTCCACAGCTCCACGAGCAAGCTCAGGACAGCTCTGTTAATTCACCCCAAGTCCTCTGATGCTTTGGGGCAACGCTAGTGCTGCAGAGAGCTGTGTGAAATGGTGAGGAAAATGTGAGTGGCAACACAGAGACCCCACAACCGCCCTGTAATCCTCCTCCCTCCCCACAACCCTTTTCCCAACTGATGCTTCAAGCCTGCACACATGGCAAACAACGTTGCTGGAGCTGACACCTGTTATTTCTTACCTACAACATGTTTTTTATCTTTCTGAAAGTATAAAAATAGTAAAGAATTTTTTTTTACAAAGACATCCATGCTTTATCAGCTCATGTTTGTGTCTGGAAACCCTTTTAGCAGTGAGGTGCGAGCCCCACAGGGTGCAGGGCTTGGCAGGAGGGCAGGCTGGAGTTTGCACAGCTCGCCCCACAACGGGTGATCTGGCGACAAGAAGGATCAAGAATTTGTTTTCACATGAAGATCAAAACAACACAAGAAGAAAAGCACAACATAGCCCAAAGTGACCCAGAATGTCAAAACTGCAACAACAGAAAGTTCAGCCCAAAAATGCAGCCTGTGAGGGCTATTATTGCTTGGCATGTTTGTCCCCACCACAGGTGGCAGGAGGGGGAGAACACAGCTATGGCTTGGGTCAGGTATTCAGTGCTCAGCCCCATGATCCCCTGCCTTGTCCCCTGCCATGCTGAAAGGCTCTCCAGCAGAGCACCCCAAACCTTAATTCAGGCCCCTCCAGGCACACCCAGTCCCACAAACCACATCCAGGCAGCAGATCACCATCCCCGCTCCCTAGTTATGCACTGAAATAATGCAAAACCCTGCAGAGACAAAAACAAAGTGATTCCACCCTACACTAATTGCAGACAAATGAGTGCTTGATTTACCCCGTTCCAGCACCACTAATAACAGGGATCTGCCCTACTGAGCCGAGCGAGGCCTCAGTCTCACAGCCACTCTTGTCTGAGGCTCTTCCCTCCATCCCCCTTTAAGCTCTAACAATTGCATATGATGAATTGGGGCTGGATTTACCATTCTGGGCACCAAAATCCTGTCAGGACACCCAAAGCAGATACAGGAGCCCTCTACTCTCCAAGCATGGTGTCACCCTATGGAGACAAGATCTCAGCATCCATGTTGCTCTAGTCCGAGCTCTTCCTGCCAAAAGTACAAATCAGGAGAGAGGCAACACTTATGCCACAGACAGAGAGATGTCTTTTTTCCAGCTCAGAAATAGTGGTGACTTCTGTAGTCCAAGCAATCACATTCTGTCATATGGTTTAGACTTCCAGGAAGCAATTGGTGGTGACTAACTACCATCAATCCCCTGTTGATGAATTTCTCTCTGTCTCTACCCTCTTCCCATCTGGATGCACAAGCAGCAAGAAAGGCTGATCCAGATCTTTGCAGCTCAGCCTTTGCCCAAGAGTGCTACTGGTCATGCCTTAAGAGGCTCAGTAGGGAAATAGGCTTCCAAGGAAGAAAAAAACATACAGACCTCTTAGGCGTTTTTATCTTTCTCCAAGAACTTTTCCATTAGGATTAGCAAATCTAGCCAAGCCATCTCAGATGCTCAAACTCAGCTCTGCTGAGATCCATTAAGGCATCCTGGGATAACTATCTGATCTACTCTGGATTAAAAGAAAACCTGAGGTCCATCCTTAGAATAATGGCTAAAAACCCCAGGATGAATAAGCACCTGGAAATATCCACGTTCCTGAATCCCACCAGTGGCGGGATTTGCATTATTTCCCAGGAGTGGGAAGGACTGGCCCACCCCTTTGTGAGTGGTTTCCAGCACAGTTGGCAGTGGCTGGTGGACCAAGGGTCTGAAGAGCAAGGGACCATGAGACCACCTTCATGCTTGCAAGCCCAGGCCAGCCTTCCCTGGGGGAAGCTGAAAGTGCACTCCAGGGACCCAGAATCTCATTGTTGCCCAAACTCAATCCCTACTCTCTGCAATACTCTCGCCCAAAACTTCAGAGGGCCAACACACAAACAATTACAGCACCTCAGCAGGCAGGGCTGGGCAAACATGCCTCTAGATGTACCAGAGTCCAGGCATGGATTTTGGCAATGATGATCAAGAATTTGCCTCAGGAAGTCTTGTGAAGGTGTGTGGGAACAAGCAAACAAACCACAGTAACATTGTACAGTTTGCTCATACCAACGTACAAGTTTCAGATTCAGTTCCCCTGCAGGGATTAAAGCAGGGAGACCACTGCTCCCCAGGCTTTTTTCCAAAGAACAACCTGAGTTGAAGAGAAGCCACCAGCCACCTGCTGCCCACTCCCTGCTCCTCATGGGAGTTGTACCTGTACACTGGTTGCATTTCCCTGGCAATCCCAATGACTGCTCCCTCTGGGAAGTTGTCAAACTCATCAAACAGGTCTCGGATGTTGGTCTTGTACTTCAGGTCCAAGTCTACCTGGATGATCTGTGTTATTTCTGAAAGCACAAAGAGGAAAAGTCAGCAATATAAGACAAAAGTGTAACCCCTGATTACCACCAGCTACTGGAGGAGCTGAACCCAAAGAGGATTTGGTGCAGTCTGCTCCATGGGCAACTCAGAGCAAACATAATCCAGCTGCAACCTCTGCATGAAGCAAACAAACTTCAACCATCATGAAGCATTTACCACTGTGTGTTTACTTCAGAAATCATTTCTGGTGACCCCCTGCTTCCATCCACTGCCTCCTTCCTTCCAAAAGACTGGTTTTCCATATAACTGACAAAAGCAAGAGTTAGCTTCAACCCAGCCTCTCTCCCTTTCTGGAAGTGCTTCTGTGGTGCCAGTCTCACAAAATCCCATGTTTACTTTCAGCTACCAACTCCTTGAGTGTTTCCCACCTCCAGCCCATACAGCATCCATCCCTGGACCAACACACCAAAGCAATTCCCATCATAGACAGCATCAGTTCGCCACTTGACACCTCCAGTATCACCTGCACAAACCCATTAGCTCCCAGCAGCTTGCCATGGGCTTCCCTGAGGAAGAGATTACAGCCCTCTGCCTGTAATCTGTACCTCTCCCAAAGAGCTGCTGGTGATCTGCAGCAGCCTGGAAGACTATTGTTGCTGGTGGTACCCTCTCAGAGGCAAGGGGGGCTGTAAACACATGGAAGCATCTTCCACTTGCAGTGAGACATCAAGAGCAAGGAAAGGCTGGAGGACATCATTCTCAAGGCTGGGCCTGAGGTACTTAACAGGGTCAGGCCCCTGCCCAAATTTGTCCCAGTCTCCTCTGCAGCACAAGAAAGACTGAAAGATGGAGATGCTGCTTGGGAGAGTATGCAGGAGATGTGCCTTGACAAGACTGCTCGTCCCAGGTGGATGTGGGGATGCTGCATGGATTGCAGCAGGCCAAGTGCAATGCAGCAAGTGCAAACACTACAAGAGATCAAGTCATTAGATGGGATCTCCCAGCCACAAGCAAAGCCATGGTCATCTTCTGGCCAGGCCAGCTCAGCCCTTCTCAGGGTCTGTGAGTGGAGCCATCCCCAGGGCATTACATAATGCCCCCTCTATTTATATGTGTTATAAAAGCCAAGAAGAAATTGGCCAGGTTGCTTAGCACTCAGCAGTAATTGGATTGTAAGGCTGTGTCAATGTGTTTTGGTCCCACTCATCATCCACAGGTGCCCTTACAGCTCCCTGCAGGCTAGACCTGCCTGTCACCACCACTTCCAGAGCAATTAGCAAACCAAGCCTTCATCCTTCCTCCTGCCCAGTACCTGCAGGCAGGAGGACAAGCCCTGCCTGCCCTCACCTTCTGCTGCCCGCTTCTGCTGTGCCTACGGGCAGGGCTTCCCATCAGGCTGGTGCTGCTGGGGCAGTGCCACCATGGCTCCTCATCCCCTCACCCTGTTGTGCTGGACAAGCTGGCTGCTGGCTACTCCTGGCTGCTGAGAGCAGGAGGCAATGGTTCTGTTTTCAGCCCCCAAAGCCACCATGGGACTAGAGACCCAGAAGCACTGAGCGCAGCCAGGCACCAGCAGTTATCCCCCAGCACAGGAGTGCAGCTTTGCATTTTCAAAAGTGTTCACTGCTTGGTGTTTGTGTTTCAAGCAGATACTGGGCTGTACGGCAGCTCTGAATTTTTTGCATATCTTGCACTAATCTGGGACTCTTGGCAATTGGTCATACCTACCACATTGTCCTCATTTAAGAGCAAAAAGGCCCTGTGAGGTTAAGCAAGAAATATACTGCTTACACTGCAAAGCACCCAAGCAGAAATATAAATCAAGGAGAAACAGTATCAAAGCTACAACTTGGGCTGTATCTCAATTTGTTTTTTTAACATCCATCATGCTCTATCTGCTAAAGGGAAAGGCCATGCTCCCTTCAGCTGTCAGTACAGCAATCCTCAGGCCTACCTAGTATTTACCATCACCATAATCCTCTGTTTGCAAAGATTTAAACCCCAGGCACAGTAAATCACCACAGGCTAAAGCAGGTCTTGACCGGAAAGCAATTTCCCCCAGCCTTCTGAACTGCCTCAAAAATGGCCAGTGCAACTCAAGCATGTGAATCAGCAGAGCAGTGTATTTCTGCAGTGAGGAACAAGACAAGTATCCCACATGCACCCAACCTCCCCAATGGCTCAAACTACAGTGGGGCAAACCCCCAAATCCAAAACATTACCACACTTGAGAATACCCAGACTGGTCACAAAACTCCAGGACAAGAAGACCTTGCACTTACAGCACAAGCTCAGCTCCAGAGAAATGTGGGGAGCCTGAGCCCTAGAAGAGACTGGGAATAGGGAATGGGATTCCCAGGGGCATCCCAGCACCACTCACCCTGGTGCACAGCAGCCTCATCAGGTTTCAATTAAATCAACTGTGAGCCACGTCATCTGATTGTTCTCTAAAATTACAGCTGAACACCAACTGCAATTAATCAGAGTGGAGAATGAAAGCTGAGCTTGGAGGAAGCGCCATTCCCAACCCTGCCTGCCCCAGCACCTCAGTGGGTGAAAGGCTCTGGAGGGTCCCTGTAGCCCAGCCAGCTGTCCCCAGAAGCCTCAGCTGAGCAGGGAGCTGAGCTGAGCACAGCTGCAGTGCCAGGCAGGGATGCCAGTGCCACGAGAGCCCAGCATGGAGACACGCAATTTATTTACACAAACACCCTGGGTTCTCCATCCTGCCCTTTGTTAGAGGCTTCCCATGTCTGGCTCACCCCAGCACACTGGTCCATGCTGTGCCCTGTGCTTCCCCCAGGAAATACTCACCAAGAAATTAGACGCAGAAAGCACCAAATACTTTTTTGCTTTGATTTTTTGAAATTTTAAATTTTTTTTGTTAAAGCAAGCATGAACTGCAACACTGAGACGTGAGCATGGGTGACATTAAGCATCACTTTGCCAGATGCAGCTTGCATGCACAGATTAATGGCTGAGATGATTTCTCTGCCTGGGACTGGCAAGGGGCCAGGCACTAATATTTATGATGTATCATGCTCTTTCGCCGTTCTACCAAGTGCTTTGTCCTGGCTGCCATGTGGGGGTGGAGGAATCGCGTGCTCTCTTAGGCACAAGCTGCTCAGAGGGATGCAGCTGGAAATGTGGGAAAAGGCTGAGTGTTCTGCTCAGCAGGGAGTTTTCTAACTTTGCCATACTGTGTAGAACCCTCCACTCTGTTCAGCTCCAGCTCTTCCAGCCACGGCATGGAGAGGGGAGCTGTGCCATTCGGAGCAGAGATGGTCTCCATTAGCAGTGACAGCTTTACAGCACAGGTTAGCCCCATTTAAAGCTCGTAATATTTTACTGCAGCCTTGTATCAGCAGCTACAGCAGGGCTGTGCTCCAGGCTTGGCTCAAAACCTCCCCCCAGCCCTGCCCAGAGGCAAATGGCCAGGTTCAGAGATGCCTCATCCCACAACCTCATCCAGTGAGGGGGCAGAGGCAGGCAGAGGTCATGTCCCTTGCCCTGCTGCCCCACATTCTCTGCCAGGACCCAGTGGGGCTAAGACAGCACACAGACAAGCACCCCTTTGGTGTACTGAGGGGCACAGCAGGTTGTCTGGATGCTCTGAAAGGCACCCAGGAGCCCCTGTGGTAGCAGGCAGCTTCTGCAGCAAGTCTAACAGCCCTTCCCAGGAAGCATGGACCCCAAAAACTGCCCCAGGGCACAGCAGGGATAGAGGAGGTATGCAGTGGGCCAGGCACCCCACCACTGGAATGACACTTAGGAGCAAATTTGGTCTAGATGAGCAATCTGATTTACCAAGTGACACACCTGTCCATGGCAGGGGGGCTGGACACAGATGAACTTTGGGATCCCTTCCAACCCAAACCATTGTAAGACTCTATGAAATTGCTCTTCCCAGAAATGTCAGGCAGGATCATGAATGGCAGCAGGAGGCACAGGAAGGAGGTGAGCTGCTTTGGTGGACCTAGCCAGAGCTCTGGGGATGTCATGCAGCAAACCATCAGCAGCTATTACCCCTCCAGCCCTTAGGACCTGCTCCCATTGCTCAGAGCAGCCTAGGCATGGGCAGCCTTGAACCTGCCCTAGAATAGAACTATTTTATCCTAACCTGAGATGAGAGGATGGACTCTAAGAAATGTAAATAGTGGGTTTGTAACTACAGGACAATGGATGAAGGGTCAGGTGAAGAGGAGATGCAAAGGCAGGAGCCTGCTGAGATCAGCACAGGCTGTTCTGCAGCCAAAGTAATTTAAGCTCATCCCAACAACTTTCTCTGTGTAAGGGTCACTCCTCTGGCAAAGCTGAGCCCAGACAGCAGGAGCAGAGCTGGGGTCTAAGTGCTGGCCTTGGCTCCAAACCCTCCACTTCCATACAAACCACACCAGATCCAGGGAAGCAGCATGCCACAACTGGCAGTGGAGAGGGGAAGAGCCGTGTCCAGGAACTTAATAGTGAAATGGAGAGCTGCCATCACAGCACAAAGGGCAGAAGCTGTCCAGCAAACATTGCAGTCTGTATCATTGATAATTGAGCAGTGGTTTAATAGATGTAGAGTAGAAGCAAGAATCAAAATACTGGAAGTGATGTAACTCTCCAGCCCACTGACAGGCTCATGTTAGCACAAGCTCAGCCCCCTCAGAGTAAAAAAATCCTGCCTGCAGCTGGTCTGGCAGAGGAGATGCTGCAAGCAACAGTGGCATACCAGGAAAGGACAGGACACCACTCCACCAGGCTGCACTGTGCCCAAATCTCACACACACTCCTGTGGCAAACACCTGTCACCAAAACTGGTGGTAATTTGGCTCTGCTCCTGCCATCCTCTGCACTGGCACCTCCACCTGTCTCAACAAACCTGTTTTTAAAGACTTAAGCATTCTGATGCTTCATGCCAGCGAGGAGAGACTCCTCCAACATAGAATCATGAAATTATTTAGACTGGAAAAGACCTTTAAGATCATCAAGCCCAACTGTTAATCTGGCACTTGGCACATATCAGGTGGGAGCACCTTGACCTCCC